CAATGCCATGCTCCAATAACCTATGAAAATGTGATTAGTAAAACTGTTTTTTTCAGGGACTTTTTGTATTATTGTAAGGCACAAGTAGGTTGTTAAAAAAAAAGACTCTAGTTTCTAGTTGGCAGTTGTTTGCCTCATGTTCGAAATCAATTTTGGAAGACACAAGTCCTATCTTCAAAACATGATCAAGAAGATTTACTTTGAAGAAGAATCAAAATTAATTGATTTTTCTTCTTAAGTTCTCTGGATGTACATCCTCACAAAGTTCATGGTATACAAAGAAGTGTTTTGAAGTATGGGGAGACATACTGTATTGTTTATATAAAATAATCTCAAAACAACAGAAACAAAGCTCAGCTCTGACACTCTACCTCCTTCATAACCGAACTGATCGCCTACCACCAGTTCCTTACTTTCTGCAGTAAATCTATAACACAGTTTATCCATAAGTGAGTAATGAGGAAATCAGATTCATGTTCTATCAGCAAAAGTATAACCAATAGGTTGAAGGATTTGGAAGCACAGAGAACACCTCTACATTGTTACATTGCTTTGACTCTTCATTTAGAGAAAAAAGGTATTTTACCCACAAGACTGGTTTTGTTTCTACAGAAATTAAATTTCTCACATACAGAGCAATGTTGACTCAAATATTTTAGTTCACGCAAATGCCTTTTTCTAAATTTGACAGCCTTACACATAGGGCGGTATTTCCGGCCACTAATTTCCAGGATTCTAATTCCAAATTCAGGTAGGGATTAAAGCTAATGAAAGGATTTGTAAGAACCTGCATATCAGCCAGTTACCCTCTAACCTCCTCTACTGCTAAGCAAAGCACTTAAGTTCTAAGCACCTTCAGGAGCAGAGACTATTTAAGGCCTCCTTCCACCACCTCCCTCCCCTCCCCAAGCCTCAAAACAGATCAGAAACAGGAAACCACAAAAATCTCTAAGAACCTAAAGTCAGCCTATGGCCCAAATAGCTATATATGTAAACAAGCCATTGAGAATTCATTTCACACAAACAGATCCAGGCCAGCTCACAAGAAAACAAAAGCCATCTGTAATCGCAATAGTCTAGATCACATTCTACCCCATCAGTTATCTCATGAAGCACACCAATATTGAGAGGTGTTGTGCAGCATGGATGGGGGCTCATGATAACAAACACAAAAGGACTTCCTATACTAGGCTCCTTGCTAGCAATTCTAGGAGGCAAAGAGAACAGGTTTCGGCGAAGAGCAGAGAAGCAGCCACACAAGAGGTGGCAGTACATAGATGGAGCGTACGAAGGCTGGACAGCACAGTCAAGAATTGTAAATTAAATTCCTGCAGGATTACTAAAGAACTGAACATCAAATTTAATACTTTCTTTCCAGAAGAATGCGCTAAGCAAGTTAATCCTTGCAATTTTTCACCATAAAGAATTATAGAGTGTTTGCCAGGTGAAGTATTTACAGCTTGTCTTTTAAAGCAGAAAGCAAGTCTCAACTTCAATATTTAGTCACACAACAAACCAGTTACAGCACTGTTGAGCAGAATCCATAAGGTGTGAAAAATAAGGTTCTACACCAAACAGTTAACTCTGTGCATGTTGTGTTCAGTCCTTTCATGCACTTCAGTTAGACTTTAGTAACTTTCCACAAGCTTACCTGCAAATAAGATGTCAGAAAGGGAAGTGGGGAGGGAGAAAAATCAGCTCCTTCCCCTTTTTTGCTTCTTTATTACATATACATAATCTAACTTGGCCACCTGCAAAAAAAGTTTTCCCATTTGAAATAACAGAAACAACAATTCCTTGGCTTCAAAGTTCTTCAGGAAGCTCCAATATGAGGAACTTGAAGAAGGATTTTATCTTTCAAACATAGTGTTTTCTGAATTGAGTTTTTATCTTTCCGTATTAAAAAATAATTTCTCACTTGTATATTTTCTGATGCCATAAATGTGCTAGTTCTACAGCAATCCATACAGCTTTTCTAGAAAAAAATTTAGACAAAATACAAGTTTACTGCTAAAAAACAGGGATTACTAAAATATTTCACATCTTAATAGATCAAACCTATTTTTATTACTTTGCCAGTTTATTACTTTTTTCAGTCTAACAAAGTGGCCGGTTTCATGCCTTCTGTACCAAAATTCCTGCAAGTACTTCAGTAGTCAGCATCCCTTTCAAAATTTTTCCTGCAATGCTGCCTTCCAACTGATCTGCTTTAGGGAAGTGAAATGAGCCTGAGACTGCAGGCTGTCTTACAATGTCCAGCTACAGCAATCTACTTGTTGAGTTTCAAGAGCTATATGAAACAGACATTACTTCTAGCACTGTAAGTAATAGACCAATAATCCAAAGTATAATTCGCTTTTAAAAAAGAGCCTACCCACACAGTGGATTCATTGTTTATTTCAACATTGCTATTATATCCAGATTATTCTTGGGATCATCTCCTTTCCACTAGCTACCAGCACTTCCTATGTTAGAAATATGAATGCATATAGAATGGCTCCTCTTAAGCTTCTTCCATTTTTTCCACCTTTGAGCACCATCTCAGCACCTGTATCTTTTTACTATTTTCTACTCCTGCAGTCTGCTTTGGTAAGAGATTTACAGAAAACTTATCCCAGTTAAAAGCCTATGCATGAGTGATAAAGACTAGTCACAGCCTTATGCTGAAAACCCAAGAGAAGAGAATATTAAGTAGACAGGTATGTAGGAAAACCCCCTAAAGCCTGTCTGAAAATTTTATACCTACAAATAACTACAAACAAAACTCTTACCACAGCCTAGTCTAATTCCTAGCATAGATGCAGAAATTGCTCTATTAAGGACCCAGTTCTTTGAAAAGTGTAGTTTTTATTAGTTCCACAGGGGAGGAAAAAAAAAAGCTAGCAGTTTTGTTGAGACATATCCATGACTATACTATAGGTTTTTTCAGGTCAGAAACACTGGTAGATACTAACAGTCACTAGAGCAGCTAAACCTTCCAGTGAAGGTGTTGCTGAAAATGAAGATGTAAATAACCATTCTTCTAGACTCTTCATTTTGAGAGGAAGAGCACTTCTTGATAGGAGACCCAATACACTTATGATGAAGGCATTAACAGCAAATAACTAAGACCACACTGACACCTGCAACTAAAGCAGCACTAAAGTTGTTTCCTTCTCAAAAGTGCAATTCCCTCCTTGGTAGCACTTCTTCAGAAAACAGTAGGATGTTTTAGGAATTGTCCCCACATACACGAATACAAAAGTTAACTGTTTTGGCAGAGGAATGCTGGAATATTCCTTTCAAAGCTGTGCTATATTCCCCTCCACCCCAGCCTTTTGCTTTTATAGTAAAATAATCACAGAACTCATTCGTGTCATTAATTCCATCAGACGAACATTAACAGTAACTTGCTCAGAATCTCAGAAACACTGGATTTCCCATATTTGATATAATCTGAATTACAAAAGGTCAGCTGAATCAAGCCACCTCTATCTGCTACTGCCCATCAGTACACTCACCTGACCACAGAAATATTAAACAGGATGGAAGAGAAGGAATTAAAAATAAGTTATGCAGAAAAAATAGTTTTAACAAAAATGGTCGTCAAGTTTGTTCTTCGCTCATTCTCTCTCTGTATGTTTCTCTTACAGGCAGGGACTTAAACCATATATAGAAAAGGACCAGAAATGTATTTTGGAGAGAAAAACCTGGAAAGAGAGGCAACAAGCAAGGACAGAAGCATAAGGGAAGCATACTCCCTGTTTAAAAGAGTCCAAGTAAACAGAAGTCATCTCTGATACTGAGAAGCAGCCATATGGAGCTCTATCAAGTGGCAGAAAAGCAAAACTAATTCCTTTAATAATCAAACATTGCTTTATTTCGTAATCCTCGATGCAGTATTTCATGTCCTCCCCTGTAGGACTATTCCACATCATAATTCTTGTCTTCAGTCAACAAATGTGATTCTGTGTAACACCCTGATGAAAAAAGCACTGAGCATGAAGACGAGAGCACTGAAACAGGACTTCAAGAATCAATGCGGCTATGCCAGTCTCCATGCGAAAGACCCTCCTTGGCCAATTCCAACTGACAAAAAAAGTTTTAAGTGCTGCAGAGTGGAGCTTGGCAGCTTGCAACCCATAGAAAGAACACGAGACCCAAAAGCACAGCAGCACAGACGCACGGATAAGGAGCATACCGCTGCCAGTTAGTTACACCGACATCAATGAAAGCTGGTAGTTATTTTTGTGAAAAGCACTCTTTTCATAAGGGAATTTCTACACTAACCAAACTGTGTAATCTACAATGCAAACTAAGATTTACCGTCACCCCTTCTGTGTATCGGCTACAACTCCATCTTAAGTTAGTCAGTGCTCGCAAAACATTAGAGCTGTACACCGTGAGACTAACGTAAACAACTGTGTGTGAAACGCCGTCCCGCTACGACCCTGACGATCTTCCTCACGCGTTGGCTTTCGCTACAAACGAAATCGATTACAGAGCAACAGGTGGCTCCCCCCGGGCCACGACGCCGGTTCTCCCGGTGGGAGACGGCCCGGCAAAGCCACGCCAACGCCCCGTACCCGGAACCGAGAGCCAAGCTCC